TCAACACCGTAAATCAACAATACATAGGTATATAGTGGGCCGAAACTTACATGCACACCAGAGGTCTTAGATCTGCTAACACCAATTTGGAAATCCATATGTACTTAAAAATCCCAGCAAGTTTTAAACTAGAGCAATAGCAGTATAAGTTATAGTAAAATAAGATTGACACTGACTTAGCATCAACTATAGGTCATTAAATGTCTTTTAACTTGCCATTTTAAAACATTTTTCTACAACAATGTTTATGTAACTATATCTAATATATCTCTCTAGCTATTCTGTATTGACCTTAATAGGCCAGATATTGAGACAAAAAGCTAAACCTTCCTTTGACGAGTGATGAGGCTTTGACTCTCAGATCCAACCCTTAATGTACAATATGAGTTAAAATTTCAATTGGTTTAGGGTACGGTAATCACCAAACTTTAAATCATGATACCTTTTCCTAACTCATGGGGGACATGTTAAGGGTGTGCTTCCAGCCTGAGTAAGTACATCACTGTGCATTAATATAGTTTATAACATGGTACATGATCTCCAGAAATATAAGATTCACAGCAATTTAGAAACTTTGTAGAATTCAACCATGGCCTAGACATAGTACTGGCTGGCTGATGTTATTTGATACCATGCAGAGCTTTGTCGTCCATTTGAACAAAAATATTGTGTTGCATGTCCCGTTTGGGACAAATTAGCTATGATTTCTTCTCAAGTTGTGAACTGTTGTTTTTCTGTGTGATTGAACATTGGTGATACACATTAAGACAGGTTCGAGCATACTTGGTCTTAATTAGATATGCATTGTACATAGCAATCACTTTCAAATTTGTTTTCCAAAATTCATTGTGGGGATCTTGCGCTGGTGGTTACGAGAGCTCCCTGACACGTCCGTAGTCCTCCTTGAATAAATACGCAATTGGGACTTCTATAGTCCTAGCGGAGAATGGAAACTATATTGAGGTTCAATGATCATTGAGGATGGCCTCCTCCAATATACGTGCATGCTGTGACATACTACTGTATTGCATTGAGGACTGAAGTCAATGGGTTGTTTGCTGATCAGTCCACACAGTAAATATGGACCATGCACCAAGCATCAAGTGTGGCTGAACTACTTAACATTAATCCTGATTCTTTCAATACCTTGCAAGGAATGGCATAACAACTACACACTAAAAGTAGATTTGGAGCACTTGAGCTAGGAGTCCTCGTTCTTCCGAAATAAGTAACGTAACACACAGGCTCTTCCACTTATGTGATTAGACTTTCGGTTCCTATCTTAATTACAGTACGCCTCGAGACTTTATTACGTCCTGGTACAAAGTTTTAACTTTCCATGTGGCGCCTAACAAAAAGATGAATGGACAAAAACATGAACAACACACTGAACCGTCTTGTTAAACCATAGAGACCCATTCCAATATTCAAAGAAACCAGCTGTAACTGTTAATTTGGACCATGGTACTAATACAAACACTATGATTTTAAAGCTCCTGAAGTATATAAAGGGAAGATGTGACTACAAATGATTCCCTTTTTTCTCGTTTGAAGTTGTAATCACATCAACAGTCAACGCTATGAAATTTTCATTTCATTTGTTGATACTTGCGCTTTTCACTTCTTGGGTGTCGTGCTCATCGTTAGCGGCGGCATACCGAGAAGTTTATGGTAAAGATCTCATTCTTGAGGTCGAAGATGAACTCCCACC